TTTATACCTAAATTTCACATTTCATAACTCCTGCTAGAAGCAACTTGGGCACGAACTAACTTAGGGTATATCACTCCTAGCTATGCCCTATCTAACCATCATATCCCCGACTGAAAAGCTTTTTGACACCTCGGGTGGTTCCCTCGTGAGTCAGAACCCGAACTCACCGAATCCGAACGTTCGGGTTCGGTGCACGCCTAATCCATTCTGATCTACTCATTTAGTACCGATACCACTTATAAAACATCTAGACTGATTCAATCTCTATTGTCAATCATCAATTTTGAAAAAGTGCTGGTTATGTCAAAGACCTTGAATAGAATCATATTTCTTTATATGGATAAACTTAAGAGGATTATGAAACGGTTGAAGTATATTGAATCAGTTTTAAGTTCAACGAACTTGGTTCACAATATATATGTCAAATTTTTATTCTTTGTCTTAATTCAAAAGTACAGTCATTATGAGCTTATTTGTTTTACAAAATATAAGCAAAAAGCACAACCAAATAACATTAGCTTTTCAGAATAATATTGAGTGAAGAATTAACTGATAAGCTAAAAAGAATGAACTTGATCAGTGCTCATCTAAATGTTTAACAAAGCATTGACCATCGAAATGTTTTCGCTATTTTGTAAGTCTTTTTTTATTGATCGAGAAAAATTTTCCACCAATAGGTCATACTTGAAAATTATTGGCTGCAAATCCAAATAACACTTTCAATCTATTCTAAATCGTCATTGTACATAATCAGTACAGTAATTAGTTCAATAACAGCATGAGAGATACCGCATGATAGGAGAGATACAATCTATAGATATGAAAGAATATTGAAAACAATGTATAGACATATATATGTTTTAAAATCTAATGTCAAACAAAAGTACGTAAGATGCAAAGGAATGTCAGTTTCATTTTATATTGGACTATCGACATAGAGACGATTATCAAGGGTAGATAAATTTTAGAAAAAAGAGATTCGCTGACATTGATTCATAGATTTAAGGACAATAATATCATTGCAAAACGACTATAGTTAAATTACTTATATTGATTAGAAAATATAAAACATTAGATAATATAGTCATATGATATTTTTCTTATTTCTTTTTTTTATTTCGATGGCAAATTATCTGCATACATTATTTATCGTTTCAACACAAAAACTGAAATGAAAAAATAACGAGGTGCTCAGAATAAATGCACGTGTTTTGCATTTTATTTTTTCATCATCTAATACGCTTTATTTAAAAAAACATATCGCAAGATGCAGCATGAAAAGCTTTACAATTTACATAAGACCGCTTATTTTATAGTTGCATTTTTTGTTTTTACAATGGACAATACTTTGAGCCACTAGATTTCGACCGTGCGAAAATTGCTCACACAGAATTTTGCTTTTTGTGGAAATAATTACTACAAGTTTTCCGGTGTATATTATAGAGATTTTCACGCTGTATCTTGTGGTTTTAGAGATAAAAAGAAGTACAACACAAAGTGCGACCATTTATTCCGGGTCATCCGTTAATATCGAATATTTTCTCATTTATATATAGATCCTTTCAAGTAAAGCAGTACATACGCACCTTTCATTTGACTTTGCTTCTTCACAAAGATTATTTTTTCTAAATAAGCTCTTGTAGCTGACTACTAATTAAATCTAATTAATTAATTAAAGAGTAATTAGCAAATACCTCTTAAATAGTACGAGATAAAATCTTAAAACCTTAGGATAGATTCTACGGTACGAACTGCCACTGTGTTGAAATATTTAGCAAGCTTGGATTTCAAATAACTTTCTTATAAAAACTGATTTTCTACAGATTCTATCAAGTCCCGAAACAAATTTTTTTCTCTTATCATCGTTCAGAGATTTTGAAGAAGAATTTGTATCTATTGAAATTGATTGCGAATTTTTTACTCGATTATAAAAACATTTTTTCATTTGCATATTCGTACTTCAACACGTCGCTAATGGAAAGTCAATCGATATTTTGAAAAATCTAACCATCATCAGAAAAAACTTTGGATAGGGATTTTGCACCCTGAGGAGTTATCCAATGAAGATACTATTTATTTTTCGACAATGTAGCCTCAATTCAGAATTTTTTTTAAACCAAAACACAAGAATGGAAGTAGCTGTCTTCTTTTTGTGTCGCATTGCTAGCGTCAGTTTTTCAGAGTACCTAGAGTACTATGAAGTACATTAAATATAAAAATTAGATTTCCGAAAATTTACGATCTTGAGATACACGCGTTTATAATTTTGCAATTTCACGTCGCTAATAACTGATTTCACCCATATGTATCTTGTTGAAATGTAAATTATGATTATGTTTTTTTATTATTATATCTTTCCATATTTTCCTATTTCATTAGATCATAACGCTCCTTGTGTGATTTTGCCTTTGCATAGCTTACAACGTCCAGTCTGATATGTTTCTAACGAATGAATATTTTGAAGTTACTTGGGATACAGACTGCGAACTTCTAGCCAATTCTTGTTTGGATGAATGGCTAATTTTACCTGAATATCCTGTTATGTATGGATATTTTCAATTTGTCTACTTGACCAATCGATCAATTAATGAATTTAAAATCAATGTCGCACCTGACTTTGTATGTTTTGACGCACAGAAATGTCCTACACTATTATCTCGAATAGTTTCGATTAAAATAATCGATGGTCTTACGTGTTGCCGCACTTTTGACTTGTTTCCAGAATATCCAAGAGAACATTTCCATATGTTGAATATAGAATTCTTGCAGCTCTATCGTGTATGTTCGGCAACTGGTAATGAAATGTCATGTGCAAATTCATCTTATTTTCATTGTAATCAATCTTTAAAATGCATTTCATATAATCGCGTTGGTGATGGATTCAGAGATTGTTATTATTATGAAGATGAATCATTTCCTACATGTCATCTGAATATCTCAAATCAGTTTAGATGCACGTCAGATCCAACCAAGTGCTTGTTACCTGTAGCGATTGGTAATGGATATCCTGATTGTCCACAAGGAGAGGATGAGGCAAGTGAGAATATATATGGCATCCAGCGACAAATTCCATTTTCATCTATATGTGACATAACTCCACACATTTTAGACGCAGACGGGAATGAAACTGATGAAACAAACTGTGAATGGTGGCCATGTTATACTGCATACTCACATTGTGATGTGTTATGGGATTGTCATAATGGCATCGATGAACTTAACTGTCCCAATATGAATTGCTCATTGAATGAATTTCAATGCAAAAATGATGGTTTAAATTTAACGTATTGTTTACCATTAGTTCACATGTTTCATAAGCGGAGAGATGATTGTACGAACGATGAGACTATTCGAGAACTCTATTTCTACAATAGGACAAGTGACATTAGCAAATCTTACTACTCATTTAACAAATCCAAATGTATCACTGAAAACAGTATTTGTGATCGTTATTCAGAAAGAGCAAATGCACAAGAAGAGGTATGCTTTAAAAATCAAAAAGTCTCCATACAAGTCGATTTCGATAGTAAAATCTATACAGTTGATAATAATAGTACATACTTATGTAGTCTTCAACCTAACATGGAGATATTCTTCGCTTTGACTGATCGTTTCTTGACTCCTTCACGACTTGGCTATTTTCCATCAGCAACATCTGCAACTTCTGTTCAAAAGTTTATCGACACTTATCAATCGAAAACGAATATTCCTAAGATAGATATTTCACTCGCTTGGTACTGTCATTATGGTGTTCTCACTCTATTCAATGGCGTTAATAAAAACAAAGCATGTCTTTGTCCACCAAGTTATTTTGGTTCTCAATGTCAATGGCAAAGTCAACGTGTGAGTTTGACTTTACAGTTTAGAACACAAAATGTTATTTCTTCTTCGCTTATTTTTCAATCAGTCATCATGCTCATTGACGAACAAGGAAGTATTGCACCAAACTATGAACAAATAACATATATAGCTGGTCATGATTGTAATACAAAATTTAATATTTATCTACTTTATCCACATCGTCCCAAACGTTCATCAGCAAATTATTTTATTCGTATTGATCTTTTTGATAAATCAACATTAGATTATTGGACAAGTTGGTATTTGCCAATTTCGTTTCAGTTTCTTCCTGTTAATCGAATATCAACTCAGTTAGTTATTCCTGAAGTACCCGAAAATAAACTATGTACACTGTCTTGTGGAAAACATGGTCGATGTATGAAATATACAAATATGAATAACTTATTTTTTTGTCGATGTGATCAAGGATATGCTGGTATTTTCTGTAATATTACATATCAATGTCAATGTTCAAATGACTCATTTTGTCTTGCTCCATCTATCTGTGTATGTCCTTTGAAAAAGTTCGGCTCACATTGTTATTTGAAAAGATCGATATGTCAATCAATGAACAATCCATGTCAACACGATGGACTTTGTATACCAATTGATAATCGCATTGATTTGTATGGATTTATTTGTGTTTGTAAAGAAGGTTATCAAGGTACACGATGTCAATATAAAAGCAATCAAATTGATATTCATATAGATGAGACAATACTAACAATAAGTTCATCATTCATTCTACATTACATAATAGCATATGACAGATTAACAAAACATGAACGAATAACTACACTAAAAAAGATTGCTTTCGGTTACAATACTATGACCATTTATGTACAACAACCATTTAACATTCTTTTCATACAAATACCTGATGGTAATTATTATCTAACAGTATTAAGAGAAAGATTTATACTATCAGAATATATTCGTACTACAATATCATCAAAAAATCGTTGTTATCCAGTTTTTGATCTTTTTAATGATACTTTTCGTCAGTTTGAATATCTACGTCAGGTAAAATATTATCCACTTTTATGTCGTCAAGATCCACAATTGATGTGCTTTTATGATGAATACTTCATGTGTATATGTGATAGTGATCATTTCTCAAATTGTTTCCAATTTAATAATACGATAAAATATAATTGTAATGGAAAAAATCTTTGTTATAATAATGGTCAATGTTTTCTCAACAATGAAACCTGCCCAACAGCATTCATTTGTATGTGTAATGATTGTTACTATGGAAGACAATGTCAATTTTCAACAAAAAATTTCATTTTTTCACTCGATCCAATTCTTGGATATCATATTAAACCAAGTATTTCACTTCATCGACAGCCATTTATTGTCAAATTCAGCATTGCTATTACTACAATTATGTTGATATTAGAATTAATCATGGGTTCATTGTCTACAGCAACGTTTCGATTAAAAAACTCAAGACAAGTTGGTTGTGCTTATTATCTTCTAGCATCATCGATTAGTTCAATGTGTATGATTATTGTATTAACAATTAAGTTTTGGCAACTTGTTCTTTCACAAATGTCAATCATAACTAATAGATCAATACTTTTTTTAAATTGTATTTCAATTGAAATAATTCTTAAATCTTGTTTAGCATCAAGTGAATGGCTGAATGCTTGTGTAGCTATTGAAAGAATGTTTAATGTTATTAAAGGTGTGACATTTAACAAAAAAAAGAGCAGAACAATGGCTAAACGAATGATTTTTGTTGTTATTATTTTAACGATACTGTCACATATTCATGATCCAGTCATCGACAATTGATTAATGATTTAGATGGAGATCAACAGAGAATATGGTGTTTATCTCAATATTCATCTACAATAACTAAATACAACATATTTATTACTCTCTTTCATTTGCTAGTTCCTTTTTCAATTAATTTAATATGTGCTTTAGCACTTATTATAGGAACAGCTCGTAGTCGTTCTAAGGTAGAATCGGAACAATCACTCAATCAACATGTACAATGGAAACTTAGACAACACAAATACATTATTATTACACCTAGTATTTTGTTATTATTAGGTTTACCACGTTTGATTATTTCATTCACATCGGGATGTATGAGATCATCACGTCAATCTTGGTTATACATGATTGGCTATTTTTTAGCTTTTATACCATCAATGTTAAAATTATTTGTGTTTGTTTTACCATCAAAAGCTTACAGAAGTGAATTCAATAGAATAAGGCGGCAATGGATACGGCGACTCTGTCAAAGACCTTGATCGATTTCATAATGCATTCTAATAGATGAATGTCCTAATTAATCTTGCTTCTATTCCATTTTCAACATTACAGACATATATCCAAAACTATCATTGTATATTTTCCTCAATTAATCATGCTTCTTAAAGTCTGCGAAAAAAAAATATAAAACAACTAAATCAACTGAATTTCAATTGTTTCTCTTAATTATTTCATAATTGTTTTTATTTGAATATACGTAAATGAAAATTGTGCTTGTCGATTATTATGTTTTAATCCTATGACTGAAAGATCAAATTACTACATTTTGTAATCAGTGTCAATAGAATATCGATTGCTATTGCTTGATGATGAAATGTTGATGTGTTTTTCGATAAAAGAGCAAAACTATTCGAATGACATCATTAGTTTAATCTTAACTGACGCCATTGACTCAATATCGCTAGTCACGCATTAGAAAGAAAACCTGTAAGTGGAGCTTCATGAGAAGTCAAAGTATGAAACTTACCAACTCTGTTTGTCATAAGTTGATGGAATATTGTCATAGAGATTAATGTAATTAATGTGTTTTAGAAAATGCCAAATAAATGATTAAATCAAAATGATAAAATTTTTTATAGTTGATATGCACCAGAGGTCCAAACAGGCCCACTTTTTGAAGGCTTGGCCTGCCTGTGCCTGTTCTCTGATTTTCTCGGCCTGGCCTGCCTTCCTGTCATTTTCTCAGGTCTGCCTGGGCCTGCCTGTCTAGGCCTGTGTATTTTTTTCACGTCAATATCATGATAAAAGTACCATAGAAAGAAGTAATAATCTTCGTAAAAAGTCGTATTAGTCACTGAATTCAATCTACATTACTACGTTGAAAAGTCTCTAATTGAAAAGTCCATGAGAATTGTCAACTTTCCAATTAAACAAAGGCATCATGCTTCTTTATAATTGAGAGCATGTGAAACTAAGGGTAGAACAATGACTGTTCATTTTCAAAGGTATTTCTAGTTAGTCGGAGTATAAAAAATAATAGTTTTCAGTTCACTTACAAAACGTTTTCTCGAAAGAACGATCGATTTCTAGTCAAAATCGCTCGATGAAAATTGGTATCGTTCTGAATTAGCAAGGAATTTCATTAAAGAGACAACTACAATGCCTACAGGTAAAAACTGCGGACACACTTTCATGTAAAAAGTAATTCGTGTAAAAGTTAGAAAAGATCCATTTTAAGTGACTAAAATCATTATTCTTTTATCGATTGTCAATTGGTAGCGAATCGATTACAATAAAAACAAATCAAAGTTAATTCATTATCTATTCCTAATTGATTAAAAATGTATGATGTTACTGAACCTAGAATCAACTTTTTGCATCACTTCTTTTATAAAGACTAGATCTGCATTCGTCACAGCATCAGAAAATTTAATTTGATATATGCTTAT